GACTTGTTCATCTACTCATTCCGTCTTCCTCATGCCGCGACTGGGCCTCCTTACTCGCATTACTCCTGCAGAGCGATTCGTCTCTGACGGCACATGTGCGTGCTCGAGCCAGTAGGGCAGGGCACCAGATCGTCCGCATTCACCAACCCCTCATCTTCCACCCTCAAGTCGGGTCCGATTTCGCTCTCTTTTGTCAACTGCTTCTCCGAGCTATCACCATCTAGAAATGCGGGAAGGAGCAACGGGCGATGCGCTTGCAAGTATTGTCAGCGGGGCGTTGGGTTCTCAGTTTCACGATGACGTCTATACTTGTGTGGCACATTGCATACCCGGGCTGGGACGCCAAACCGCCTCTTTCGGGATCGGGGGCCGAGCGGAGTAACTGCATTCTCAAAACGAGAGCGCTTTCACCCATTATAATACATTTTGTCTCTTGAATAATCTCAGTCTATCAAAGCTGCCCTCACAAGCCACTAATAGTGCCCAACTGTACTCCAACTTTGTCCTTGGGTGATTGGCGGATATTCTGCTAAGGAATCATTAGAACCAGTGCGCATAGCACTCAAGAGCCACACACACCTTGGCGTTGACTTGAACATTGGTGATATCGTCAAGCACTAGCTCTTCTCCAGCGCATTCCTTCTCGGGAACCAACTCTGCCTCCTCTACTTTGATTCTTGAGCGCCGAACCTCTTCCTTGAGTTCCTTGTAAATGTCAGCAACATCTTTGCCGGGAGAAGGCCAGCATTGGTCAAGTAAACACGCAGTCATCAACATGTAGTTTGAATCGGGAAATGGTTTGTCAGAATTGCGAGCAACGGATCGGGTTCTGTTTTGCGCAATGAACGACAACCATTGTAATAAGATAGTACCACGCACCTGGCCTTCGGATGAGTTACTGTCCTATTTTGACACTGGCAGCACAGCGATAAAATGACGGTACGTTGCGAGCTGCACAACTTAGCAGATCATATCCACAATCCTTATAGCTCGTCGTGGAGGGCTTGATAGTATAGCTTTTCTGTGCTGGCGGATTGGTCGGAGAACTTGAGATAATTCTCGGAACACAGAGTATAATCTTGAGGGGAAAGGGATTCGATCTTGTCTGGGTGAGAGAGAGACTGGTAGACTGTGAGTATGCTTCCCCGTGGTTGGACACTTGATGCAGCGGCCTGTTGTTCTCCAGTCCGTCGACACTAGTTTGCGACACCTTCAGCTCTCCCTCAGAAGTAGTGGCTGGTTTGTTGGTTATATCCATCGCAAAGTCTTGATACTGGTTCGCAGCCAGTGTGTCGTTCGGAGTCGAGGCTAAGTAGCCAAATACGTTGGTGTTGCTGCCTTCGCGTTGGTCGGCTCCTCTACTTCAACTGATGATTTCGAGAAGACGGGCATGATGTTCTGTTTCACCTCACCACTCTCAGACTGAGAGGAAGGCCCTTCCACTCTTGTCCCAAGCGCTCTCTGCCAGATCGACCTCAATACTGAAAATGATTTTTTGGTGCCACAGTTGCGAGCCAAGTGTCGACAAGAACAGGCATCATTGAGGTATGAAAAAGTTGATTCTATCTTCCTCTTGAAGCGACAGGTGCAAGACAGACGAGGGTGTTCTCGAATCGATGATACGGTATGCGTTGCAGAATATCAACGCATGTCTGAATAGTGTTTCACGTACCAGCATCCACCGACTTCCCACCAAACGACATCGCATGCCAACTCCTCTGGAAGCTCTCTTTCTCGCAAAATGCCTTTCTCGTGTCAACCATGAGAGAAGGAAAGAAACTCAGCGCTCATCACAATTTGATTCGTGGAATCGTGGTGACTGGAGAGTCACTTGGCAACTTGGTTTTGGCTCTTCCTTCCAGCAAGTTCCAGGTCTCGTCAAGCGGAAGAAGACCTCCTTCGACAAAGCAGACTCGGTCTGAACCAAATGCCTGCCTGACGGACTTGAAAACTTCACATCTCCCACCACAGAATCCAATCAGACCCCAAAACTCTCCACTTCAGCGCCCGCTCTAATGACTGAAAAATATTTCCCCCAACGCACAATTCACGAATAAGCAATATCGCAAGAGAGTACTTCGATCCACTGGCACAAATGGATTGCTGATCAGAGGCGATGTATCGGATACTGTGAATGAGACTATGGCAGTCCAATTGCACATTTAATTTTTACCGCGCGCTCTTGATGTTGCGCGCTCTTTTGGGCCGGATTTAGTGATTTTCCCGGTAAATCACGGATACCAAAAGATGGCGCGGGAAAAAGTGTCCGCCGCTCTTTTTTGAAATGCGCACACTCTTTTGCCCAAATCGCGCTACTACCTTCAAGTTTGTGCAAATCTATGTATTAGTATATATACTCATACTCTCACTGCCCCCTCAGCTCAGCCTGAAGCTGACCATGGACATTGGACACTGTATGGTCATTGTCCAATAATACTAGCCAGAATACCAGCAGCTTTCAGCCTGACATAATTGATTCAGAACTGAGTATTACTCACTATATACTAGTATAAGGGCATCTGCATAATGGCTGCAAACAAGACTTCAGTATACTCATTGTCTGACATTCACCAGCAGTAATGCTAACTAGATATTCAAGCTTGTATATGCATGCATATATGGCTCAGTAATCTTGTCAGCATGGGGTCAGGCCAGCCTCTGACTCTGAAGGGTAGGGCTTGGTTTTTAAAGATTTTGAAGGTTATCAAACAGTTGGATAAAAATGGCCTCTGAAACCCTGTTTATAAACCGGTTTTTAGGTTTTATAAACCAACTGAGCTGATATGACCAGAGCGACCATTTTTTTTTTTTTTTTGGAAATTTCTGATATAAATTTTGGCCTTTTGACTTGATGTCTGAAAGTTTCATAGGCTGTAGGGGGTTTGAGAGAGAGCTAGAGCCCATCAAGTCTCACTTGTAAGTTAGTATAATATGTTTAAGTTATATATACCAGATGCAATTTACTTGAAGGTATTAGAAGATTTAAGATAAACCCCTTATCAGGAATCCTCTATATGACCTAAAAATCATAATGACAGCAATACTTAATAAGAAATGTGCATAGTTAGTACTTATAGTCACAACCCAGCCCTCAGTACTAGTACTAATCATAGCTACTAGTACTAATCATAGCTAATGTCAGCCAAAGTAGGTAAAGATTCTACTTGATAAGAGACTAGATGTTATAATAGACCTATAAGATATGGTCAAGCCTACTAGTAGTATATAAAAGCAATATTAGTGTGAAGTAAGTCTAGTTTACCAGCTTCTTTCCTTTTTGGGTGCTTATTAATATAAAACCATAAAACAGGGTGTTTCCAGCCAGGCTGTTTATAAACATATAAAACAGGGGTGTTTATAAACCGGTTTACAAACACCCCTATATAAACCAAGCCCTACTGAAGGGAGTCAATTCATGTGATGTCAGAAGGAAGCCATGTACACCAGAGTTACTACTAGTCAGAAAACTTCACTAGGGAGAGTTGGAATCTACAAGTTGTAGAAAAGAAACAGTAGCAAAAGAGTGCGCGCATTTCCAAAAAGAGCGCGCGCGGACACTTTTCCCGCGCCATCTTTTGGTATCCGTGATTTACCGGGAAAATCACTAAATCCGGCCCAAAAAGAGCGCGCAACATCAAGAGCGCGCGGTAAAAATTAAATGTGCAATTGGACTGCCATAATGAGACAGTCACAAACTGCATCTCTTTCCTCTCCACCATGCGCTCGAGAGGTTCGACATTTCGTTTGGCTGGGAAGTCATCTGCACAAGCTTCCGATAGTGTTTAGTATCGACTTATCACGTTTAGTGCCAGTTGTTTCAAGATGTCTGGCAAATAATGCCTCGTTACTTGCCTGACCACGAACACTGAGTTGTCAGTGAATTCCGCTCTGCAACTCCACAGCGGAGCGCCGCTGTATCTAAACACCTTTCTTTCCGCATCGACTTAGACGGGAGGCCAGGGCACTGGTAATGTATCGCCTCGTTGTTTGATTTTCTCCTTTTTCGCCGGTCTATTCCGACGACGGATGGGCCTTCCTATTCGCATTGCTCTTGCAGAGTGACTCGTCTTTGACGGCACATGTGCCTGCTTGAGCCAGTAGGAAACGGCACCATTTCGTCCATCTTCGCCAACCCCTGCTTTCCTGTCATTCCCCATTTGATTTCATACATTGTCCCTACCGCTTCTCCACGCTGAACTATCCTTGAAATCCGGGAAGGAACAACGAACGATGCGCATGCGACCAGGAGCTCTCAGGGTGCTCCGGTAATTGCGTGGGAGACTGGAGAACCTTTTTGGTCGCAGTTGCACATCGTATATCCTGTGTCGGGACGCCAAACCGGCTCTTTCGAGGTGTTGTTTGAATAGAGTAACTGCAGTTTTGCACGAAGGCATGTTTTCGTGACATTTGCTTTAGCTACAAATAGTACAACAATGCAAACTATGCTCTACACTATGGCCACAATGCACTCATAAGACTATCTTGAAACTGGCTAACACAATTACAACCATTCTTCGTGAGCTTCTTGGCGCGTTTGCTTGTCTCTCGCTGAAACCAATCAATACACACAAACAACGACAAGATTGACTGCCCACCTTGATCTCTCCAACACTTCTATCTTCAAGCTCAGGTGTTTGCTTTGACGCCACAATGTTTTCGACTCCATGTGGAAGTGGATCAATAGCGCCAGATGCCTTTGGCTCCCCATCAACAACATTGGTGAGATCCATGGCAAATGTGGTATGCCAGTTTGCGGGTGGCGCTTGGATCGTGGCATCGAGGTCGGTTCCATCAGGTGGGTCACGATAAATCTCTTGCTTATTATAGTTGATGGTGGACGACTATTTGTGCAGTTAATGATAGCCCGGGTAAGCCCTATATGACTCAATGAGTTCAAAATCATTCGACATACCGAATCGAATGAGCCGTTATCGACAGCCTGCGCTTCTAATTGGTCCACAATGGTGGCGCTAATTGGCGGCATCGCTTGCTCATCATCTCTATGGCCATTGTTGAGTAAGTAGCATGTTGGGAGGAGAAGGTACGTGCAGCGCGGCCAGATGAGCCCTTGTCACAGCGGTCGACGGGCCTCCATCTTGACTGATTAAATTTGGGTCAGTGAACGCTTGTGTGTTGAGCAGAGTAAGGATCTCGTCGCTGAGATTAACAGAGGGGTCATTAACGCTGGGGGAGTTGATGGTTTCTGCTGCGCGACTCAACACTGCGCGGAACATGGGATTGTCGAATAGGTTATCGAGGATTTCCTTTGTTTGATCATCCAATAACGCGCCGGGAATCTCAACGAAAGCGATGGCGACCTGCTGACCCCATTGGCATAGTTTGGTTAGGAAGATGCGGAATATACGGGGAGGAGGGCGATGACTGGAAAGCTAAGTCGTCAGAATGCCTAGCTGGTTGTAGACAGTGACATACCAGGTGGTCGTTGAACTCATCTTCTTCGTCTTCGCTGAGGTTGCTCTACCAACGATAATAAGTAAGTATGACATCCAGGAAGCATGGTCATACTGCTGTCTCCTGGATGAAGAGTGAGTAAGTTCTGTAGATAATCAGAAGAGACACACAAATTCTAACTGGCGAGCTGGTCGGGGAGGCAAGCGAGTAGGTTTTGGGGTAGGTGGGGTGAGAGCGGAATCCGAGCGTGCGTTGTAAAAGGCAGGGGTATTGAAGAGTTTATCGAGAGCATCGTTGACTGCGAGATTCTCCGACGCCGATTCCAAGTTGGTATAAGCCAAAGCGTCGACCATCGTCGGATCTGGGTACTGGTTAGCTGGCGATAACTGCAGTGCAAGATTGTCAGAATTTGCCGCTAATTGTGAACGGTGACATACGTTGTTTTCGACGGCTGATGGTTTTGAAAAGACGGGAATGATGTCCTATTTTGTGGGTTAGGATCCTATCGCGCGCCAACAACATTCAACTCACCGAATCGAACGAGCCACGATTGTTGCTGTTGACGCCAAGCAACTCACTTGCCGCTGTTGGGGCCGATGATTCCTGCCAAGGGCCGATTCAATGAGAAGACTAATTTGAGCTAAAGAAGACTAAACCACCAGTGCAGTCAAAAATGTCTTTCGGAAGACGGTATCGTCGGCCAGCCTGGCTCCACCCCCTGGGACCAGGTGCTCATCATTTATAGCCTGGTCGTTCATGTAAAGGACGAGATCTTTCGCATAAGGCACCAAATCAGGGGTCTCTTCAGGCAAAAGCACAAGTTCTGCAGGATCCTCGCTGGTGGATGACTCATGAGTTGTGCGGAAAGTCAGACGGCAGAGGGAAACCTGCTGCTTCGTAAAAGGCAGGGGAATTGAAGAGTTTTTCGAGAGCATCATTGACTGCGGGATCCTCCAATGCTGATTCAAAATTGATATAAGCCAAAGCATCGACCATCGTCAGATCCGGGTGCTGGTTAGCTGACAATAGCTGCAATTCAAGATTGTCAGAATTTGTCGCTAATTGTGAACGGCGACATACGTTGTTTTCGACGAAATCATCCCCGAGCTGGGCTTCCCCGACCTTGCTTTCCTTCATCTGGTATTCCTCGCCGTCCCCGGAATCATCCTAGTAACGATAAACAAGGGGAAAAGAACGAGTTTAGGCATACGTCAGGTGAATGCTGCATTAAGGTGAGCTACTTTGGTGTTATGTTTGCAACGGGCACATACTGGGTCTAACAGGCGGGCTTGTTTTGAAGGAAAGCTAGTGGGTGTTGGCGTTGGCGGGGTAAGGCCTGAGTGCGTAGCAGCGTCGTCGAGTTCGGGGGTCACGAACTCCGCTCGTCTCCTCGCTTCGTCCGCTGCATTAATTTCTTTGAACGCAGAATAGCTCGGCCGTGCATATATCATAGCAACGTTGGTTCGCCGACTGGGAGATGGGGAGCGATATGCCCCGGTAGGAAGGTTGGGCCGCGGGAGAGGTATGAGCTTAGGGAGCAGTGGGTCGTTCTGCATAGTGGAGAGAGAAATAAGAGAGTCGATGTGACGCGACGCGTCCTAGCCCAAACACAGACAAGCTCAGTAGCAATACGACCCCAGTTTTCCTTGCTTCGTTTCCTTCTCGCCGCTCACAGAACGTCTTTGCTCTTCGTCTCGCGGGTTGACATGCTTATTGACTTGATGAAAACGCAGCTAAGTCTTGCAACGGTTGTGGCGGTTTCGAAAATGTCAGGCATAGTCAGGACAAAAACAAACTACTTTCTTCTTGCTACCCGAGCGATACACGACTGCAAGATTCTTGAAGCTTCAAAGCATCAATGTGTGTTTGACGAGGGTGAGTCTTGTTTCACATGCCTGAATGCTCCTCCACCGGCTGCCTGCCCAGCAACCTCGCATTCCAGCCCAATACTCCCTTCGGAAGCGCTCTTTCTCGGGTTGACCATGCGGAACGAAAGAAAGGTGCAATTGGCTCGGCGCTAATCACAATTTGATTCGTGAGTGACCAAATTACTTGGCAACCCGGTCTTGACTTGCTACCGCACGGTGAGCAAACGACTCATCGCATTGGCCCGAGTCAGTTTCTCACTCTCAATCGACCGCATCTGGCATCATACCCATATCACTCGGTGCGTGCTGTTGGCTCAAGACTCTGTTGACTCACCTTTCATTATTCAGTCCAGTCAAGCAAAGTGCCAGTGGAAGACGGCCTCGTTAAACAGAGCCAGCTCGGTCTGCGCCACCAATGCCCCATATGGCGTAAGCAGCTGAAAGATATAGTTCAACAGGGAAAACTCTGTCTGAACACCTAATCGCAGGCACAACGCGACACAACATCTCTATGTCAATTGTCTCGAGCAACAAAGCAATTTCATGCTCGATTTCTAGTCAGCATCCTCGTCAATGGAAGTAAACGTCTTGTATCTGTGCAACTTGCCCCGAACCGATTCCCTCGTTGCCGTCTCCACTCTGCGCGTTCCCCCCACTTCCTCAGGCGACACCTTGACAATATCCATCCCCTCTCGATTGGGATCTAGATTTTTACGCGCACTAACAACTCGGTCTCAAGAATTTACGACTCCTGTTTAGCTTCACGTTGGGCCCGCTCGTCAAATTTCTTGCCTCAATGTGGAGCTCTGACTACAGTAGAGGAGAATTACAAGCAAAATTATCGCGGATATTTGACGGTATGCCTCGCTTTTCGATAGGTCGATTGACCGAGCACCAATAGTTACGGTTCAAACTTGGGGCCCGACAACAAGTTGAATGTTTCGTGTTCATATCCAGTTGGTAGTGTGGAAGATGAGCCCTGGGATGGACCTAGTCGAGTATGGATTCGAGAGTTTAATCGTCCTGAACTTCCTCCTACCCCCGCAAGTCACTCAATGACGATGGTGGTTAGCGTTATCGTTGGTGTCATTCGCCATAGAATATCGGATGAGTGAGTGTGAGACAGTCACACATCGCACCTCTTTCCTTCTCCATCAAGCTCCCCCTCCAGAAGTCTGAGGCTACAGTACAGGTCTCCCCTCTTCCCCTCACCAACATATGTTCGTTTGCGGCATCACTTACCTTTCGATGATCTCCTGAGTATATTCCATGGTGTCTACGCTTACTGACGAAACGACGAAACCCACAGGACCATTTGATTTTCCTGACATTCTCGTATCGACTTGTTAATCCACTTTCTTCCATACTAGCCTGACGCCGAATGGGCCTCCTCACTCGCATTGCTCTTGCGGAGCGATTCGTCTTTGACGGCACATGTGCGTGCTCGAGAGGACCCGGGAAGCTCCACCAAAGGGCGATTCAAAAAATTTCCGGATTTTGGCCTCAAAAACCCATTTTCTTGGGCCCCAAAAACCCATTTTTGAAGAGGGATCGTGACATGTCACTGTGTGACACTTGCTAAAAATGGTAGTTCTTGCAGGTGTCAAACAGTGTCTTGCGCCGCTTTTACCTTTGAACTAACACTCTTTGGGGTGATTTCCCTCTCAAAAGGCATCTGGTACTCGGTGAGATGTGTCAGTCTAAAACCTTCCTGCAAAACTCCCCAGGGCCTGAAAAACCCATATTTTGAAGAAGGTTTTCAGAATTTCTGTCTCAAAAACCCATATTTTGGACAAGGAAATCGCGATTTTTGGGCCTCAAAAACCCAAATTTTTGAATCACCCTTGGGTGGAGCTTCCCGGGTCCTTGCTCGAGCCAGTAGGACAAGGCACCATTTCGTCCGTATTCACCAAACCTTCTCGTCTTCCACCCTCAAGTCGGGTCCGATTTCGCTCTCTTTTGTCAACTGCTTCTCCGAGCTATCACCATCTAGAAATGCGGGAAGGAGCAACGGGCGATGCGCTTGCAAGTATGGGTTGTCGGGCACTGTCGGCTTAGTTGCACGCTGACCTTTCTGCTTGTGGGGCACATTGCATACCCTAAGTTGGGACGCCAAACCGCCTCTTTCGGGATTGGTGGCCGAGCGTAGTAACAGCAGTCTCAAAACGAGAATGTTTTCACCTACTATACTGTAGCTACACATTGGAATCCATATACGGTTTGTACATACTACACGCGTGAATAGGCTGCATCGAGTAAGTTGTGTTCCATCCCGCAAGTCTTGAGCCATTGCTTTATTGTTGTTGCAAGCCGCTGGCTGTGAAGTCAGTATCCCAAGCTTTGACATTAGACTGAAAAGCAGGCGGTTATCTGATAACCTGTTAAGGGATGCTTTGAGGCTTCGAAGAACATCGTATAATCCACTTGGACTCTGCTCCTCATTTGTGCCCATCCATCGGACATCGAACAGTTTTCGGCCGAGCGATTTTTGCCACTGCACAACAATTTACTCATGCTTGACCGACGCGTCGTCGGAGCATAAACCATTCAAAAACCCAGTCAAATACAGGAGGCGACATTTCAGTGTAAGGTCCGTGGCAAGCTGAATGTGGCCGGCTGACCACCGACATCGCTTATAAGTCACAAGCAAACATTCTGTTTCTTCCCTTCACCTTCCGACCCGCTGCTTCTGGGCTTCCTGCCTGCCGTATGCTCTTACGGTTTCGTGGGGCCTTTAAAAAGCTGACTAGCTCTCTGTCAACTCGCGTCTACACCTCTCCCTCACCCAGAATGTTGATGACCACAACCGCGAACTCTCGGAGCCTACCAGGTATTTCGGACACTTTGCTGCTGCGTACTTCCCACTCACAGTAATACTAGACTGCTGGGGACATCGAGGAGTATGCCTTATTCTATTCAACGCCAGACTACACCTAACTCTGGTTCAGGCCTCTGCCCGTTTCCCTGAAAATACACTCTCTAGCTTTGAAGCAGCAATTCGTGACGGCGCGGAGGGGATTGAGAGCGGTATTCCTTCCCCTCTACTCCGCGCTGGCCCCCGTCCCTTTTCGTGACACCCTCCCAGACGTCCATGTCTCTTTGGATGATGTGGTTGTTATGTTCCACGACCCGGGTACGCGGCCTTTTTTGCAAGCCCCGACGGGTAGCATTGTAATAACCATCTAACAAACCCACTCAAGATCTTCGACGAACCACCAACTCTTCTGGACTGATTAGAGAGCGACAATGGTTTGGCGAAGACGGGATGAACAAGGTCCGGACAGCTAAGGCACCGCATCAGCCGATCCCCACATTCGAGCAAACGGTGGCCCTTCTCATGGAGGTAAGATATCTTTGTTGGATGATTTTCCGTCCAGGGTTGACCTTGTGGTAGCCTGAAAACCAACACGTTAGCTTCAATGTCGATGTGAAGGTGCAAAATGACCCTACGCGTCTATTCTCTTTAATGCACAAGATCATTTCATCCTACCCCGAATGGGAAACGCGTCTTGCACCCAGAATTCTTCTTGGATTGTGGCACCCGTCATTCCTTGGTCCAGCAAAGGAGCAACTCCCATATTGCCGTCGTTCCCATATTGGAGACAGTCCCTCTGTCGCACGCAAGTTCTTCTGGGACGATTGCGAAGTTTTCAGCATGTCTTTTGCAGCTCTAACTTCTGCCGATGGCCAACGGTGTGTTCATTTTTCTCGAAAGTCGTTAGCGCGCCAATACCCACTAGCTTCCGCCAAGAGTGCAAGGCCGGAGGTAAGAAGGTCATGGTTTGGACCGTCAATGAACCCGACCACATGATGGAGGCTAGTTTGCGCATTAAGTATATTCGGGTTTCTCATTGCCCTTTACTAGGCTGTCCGCTGGGAGGTTGATGTTATCCTCACGGATTCCACAAGAACATGGCTCGACTTGCGAAGCGCGTTGCATGGTCCGTGCCCTTTCACTTTCAAGCACCCTCTTACCTTTTCCAAGCCGATTACGACAAGATCACTGCACAATATAGTCGGTTCTTCCTTTGGACCTCGCTCCACTTTTACCTGCCGTTCTTATACATTCGGGCCACTCTGAATCGAGACTCCCTCGAACGCGTCGCTGGACCATTCGACGTCAAGTTGAGCCCGTTCCAAGTTACCATTGCCTCAACGATTGCGTGGTGGTTGGGCATCAAGGCATGAAGATTTAGACTGTTATCTGGGTTATTTTGGGAAATAGAAGGGATACCAACAACAACAAAAGAAGCAGAAGAATTTGTGGACTGTCTCACGACTTTCACGACTAACGCATAATTTTTTTTTTCTTGACTAGTAGTACTTGGATTATGTCGCTCTTGGGGGAGGGACTCGGTCGGGTGGACCCATCGTTCCTCGAATACGTGTAGCTGGCGGTGGTAATGGATTCGAAGTTGCAATATATCGAGAAGGTGGCGTAAAATTTGCCGTTGAAGAAGTCGTCCCCCATTCCAATAGTCCGCCCAGAGGAATATGCTGGACAACGACCCGCTTCCCAAGAACCTCCGCCTGCCATCCACTGTGAACCAAGTTTTGTAACAGGGAGTAGACGACGAACCTCGTACATTTTAAATAGCCCTGTGTTGACCTTGCCCCAATTTGGGACTCCCGTAGCTATTGAGTGCAGTTGCGACGAGTGTTCGTGGAATGGGCCATGTTTGACTTGATGGATGCGCATTATCGAGAGAAAATATAGATTTGTCGGTGGCAAGGGAGGGCGTAAGACTGCGGAGACGGGTATCCGAGTCTGGTCACGGAGCTGGCCACTGCCAAATATGTAGCCCAGGAATGACGAGTCGTCCAGACCCCAAACTCCGTGGCTACCAGCGGGCTCGAGATTATAGACATCTTGAAGACGCCAGCAAAGGCTCAGGTAGCGGGGAAAGACGACGAGGACGATGGCACGTTCTTCGTGTGGGGACGGTTGGATGAAGCGGGTCAAGGCGAGGCAGAGGAGGAACAGAGCAAACGATGTTTCGTGCCCTGTTCCGTAGTCCATCCTACCAAATGAGCCGAAAGATGTGAGGAGATATGGCTTGATGTGAGGGATAATTGGACCGTATTCTGGTGGAAGGAGACTCTTGAGAACAGCATCGCATTCCTACCAATCAGCCTTTGGACAAGAAATGTCGTGAGACTGAGCCTACTTGTTCTAATCGTCTGCCCCATGTCCGAAAGGCAAGATTCCCGAATCGCTGCGGTGAGGCTTGTGCGGGAATTTCGTCAATCCAGCTATCGAGAAGATTCAGTATGTCAATGATTTGTTCAATGGCCTGTACAGTTGATCAGAGATGGCTTGAGACCTTCATGACCGATTTCTGACCTTGCTTTGGCCCGAACCGGTTTCAGGAATGTCATGACCAACGACAGCTTCATTCAAGCGACGCAAGAAGATTGCATAATCCTGGTAGGACCTCGAGCGTCGCCAGGTATCGACGTCATCGTCAGTTTGAATTTTGAGTGTCGGAGTATCGAGCGCAGGTATATCAGCAAGTGGTATTTGCCGCAGATCGGCTATCTGCCCAGTCATTGAGATCGAGGTGGTTGGAGTCAAGCTGACGTATGTCACAAAACGAGTGACCGTTACTGATGGCGTTCGCACCTTGTCTCCTCCACCCACAAACGCCACATCATGGCCTACGATGACTGGAACAAGCTTGACGAGGAGGAAGAGGAGGAGCTACAGGACTACTCGGTATGAAAACACATATAAATGCTTTCGTTCGACTTATGGCCCTTGCAGTATTTCGACAGCAAGAAGGATGTTATTCTGTTCTGTATTGACTGCTCTGAATCCATGCTCGAACTTCGCGAAGACCCCATATATGAGAATGCTCAAACTTGTCACGCCTATATCGCCCTTGAAGCAGCCATGCAAATACAGAAGAAAAAGGTCATCACTGGTCCCAACGACTCTGTGGGCATCCTCCTTTTCAACACAGTGAGCCAAACCAAACGTCTCATTTTCCTACGGCTAAACCTATCAAGTCTCGTCAAGGCGAGTCCAGTCGCAGCACTGGCTCCGACATCAAGAAGAATTGTTTTGTGTACCAACCTATTGCCCCTCTCAGTGCGCCGAAGATTCAGGACCTCATACATCTTCTGGATGCATTTCGAGAGGATCCTGAAGAATTAAAACGAAACTTTCCCCCGTTGCTCGATGGGAAAAAGGTGCCTATGGGAGACGTTTTTACGAGCTGCAATTGGGTTTTTGCGAGATGGCGCTCCCAAAACGGCAACCAAACGAGTTTTCTTAATCACTGACGAAGACGACCCACATACCAGCAAGCAGCTCATCAATTCGGCCAGAACAACGCTCATTGTCTGTCTGTACATTCATTGGTGACCTCGTTTCGCTGACGTTTGCCTGGAGGACCTGACGCAATCCGGAGTTGCTGTCGAACCGTTTTTCATCAGCACGAAGGAAAAGCCGTTTGACGTATCCAGGTTCTACTCGGTATGTGGACCAATCTCATAGTCACTCTCTCGCTCAACCGTTCTAGTCTGTTCTCCTGCCAAATAGTCTTGTCGATGAGGACGACATTGACACTGAGGACCCTTCAGTTCTTCGAGAGTCGATATCCATCTCTCGGATCGAAGACCTACTGGCTCAGATGCGATTCCATGAAGTCGCAAAGCGAGCTGGCTTTAGTGTGCCTTTCCAGCTTGCAAACGGGTTCACTATCGGCGTCAAAGGGTATGTAGAACCACCGGAATCCGGGTGTCTGGTTAACATCAACAGGTATGGCCTTGTAACGGAGCAGAAAAAGGGCTCCTACAAATATTTCATGGATCTTGGCGACAGAATGGAGGTCGCTACTGTCAGGACGTCCTACGTTGACGAGGTTTGTGGACATTTTGATGAACTTGGCTGGCTTTAAAGCTCTAAAGGAACAACAATCCGAAGTCGAAAAGACCCGCATGGTTTATGGAATGGGTGTAACGTCCGGGGGGGACGACGCTGATGGAAACGAGAGACCTGCCAAGCCAGGACAACGCGTATGTGGGCCCGGCCTGTGGCTTGCTTAAGTTTAATGATTTGCAGCCGTTTTACAACGCCGAAGAAATCCGGTCCTTCAGAACTTTGGGTCTGGAACCCAGTATGTTTTATCCCTCCTCAATCTTCCTTGTTGCTGAGTGGATTTGAGGCATCAAGCTCCTTGGGTTTAAAGACCTCTCGGAACTTAAATTTGAGGACAATGTCAAGGTTCGCCCGTCTCCTTCCTCGGAATTCCACCACTGAAGATCAAAACAGCACTCACTATTCATCTATCCCGATGAATTGGTTCGTTTTCACAGTGGCCCTGTTCTGGTGCTTACATCTCCGCTAGACCTATGCGGGAAGCAAACGCACATTTTCCGCTTTGCTTCAATCTATGATTAAGAAAAAGAAGATGGGCCTGGTCCTCGCCTTAGTGCGGAGAAATGCATCTCCCACTTTCTGTGCACTATTACCCCAGGCAGAGAACATGGAAGACGGATGGGCGGACCCGCCTGGTTTCCACCTGATTCCGCTTCCATTTGCGGACGATATTCGCAGCGCGCCAATTGAGCAAGCTTGCCGTGCCTCAGAAGACGTCAAAGACGCCGCGCTTGCCTGGATAAACAAACTTTCTGTCAAAAATGGCGCCTATCCACCAGACTCTTATCCAAATCCAGCGCTCGCATTCCATAATGCTCAACTCCAAGCGACTGCCTTTGGCGAAGAGTTCGACGTTGATGAATTCGAAGATTTAACTTTACCCAAAGTCGATATGATGCATAAGGTTCGTCGGGACTTCAGTCAATGTGTGTCTTTTTCTCACAATCGTTCGCAGCGAGCTGGCAAACTCTGGGAGGCATGGAAGTCTTCTGTCGCGAACGACGAAGCTGCATTAGAAAGCGGCCCCGTCGTGGAAGAGAAGAAGAGGGGCACCAAGCGCAAAGCAGAAGTCGACCTTTCGGAGACCGAGATTAGGACACGGGTCGCGGACGGGACGCTTGCCAAAGTAAGCCTTCTCCTTGCAGTTATAGCCCCACAAGCAGATATTAATCATGCGTCTCATTGCAGCTTACCAACGACCAACTCAAGGTGTGTTCTTTGTCTTGTGTAACCTCGTCAGACCACAGAAGGGGCTAACAACTTTCAGACCTTCCTCAAGAGCAAAGGCCAGCCTGTGTCTGGCAAAAAGTCGGATTTGGTTGAACGTATTGAAGAGTTTTTGACAGAATAGTTTTCTTAGTTGTTTGTACTTACCCTGTACTTATTGTACCCTCCATTAATTCAGCAGCATTTGCAGCGATGTGTTGAGTGTTGGCCGTTTTGTCGCTCGTGTCATGTGGAATGACATGTGCATCCCTCGGCCCACTGCGGCAGTACTGCCGGCGGACTGCGGCAAATCACGTTTTTGCAAGGGCTGCGAATATAAATAGACACATAATTGTTGCAATCAATCTTCGACTGATTCCGTTGGTGACCCGGTCACCATCGGTTACAGTCCGCTCCGAGGCGGACCTGACCAGATCGCTGTTGTCTAATGCACTTTATAGATGACCCTAGCCCGGGAAAAAAGAAGACATAAACCGGGCCGTTCGCCTGCTTCTTCCAAGTGACCGCCATGGCCTCCACAAGCAGCTCGCTCTCACTCAGCTGCCGCACACCGTTGCCGACACTGAAGACCATCCAGGGCGGGGTCCATCGGCTATTCCTGAAGACAAGAAAGAAGAGTTACTCGAAAACGCGGAGGACAATTGGCAAGATGACCCAATAAATCCGCGAAACTGGTCGCTAGGCAAGAAGTGGACCTCGGCGGGAGTGGTGCGCATTTTGAATCGCATTGTTCTGCAACTCACGACGCGTCCAGGTGTCTTTCTACACGTTTATCAGTCCGCTCTCGTCAAGCATCATGGCCCCTGGCCTCCCTGACATCGCCCTCAAGTATAATATCACCAACGAAACCATAATAGCGATGACTCTGTCGATTTTCTTAATATCCTTTGCCATTGGGGTGTGTGCAAACGACGTTGACAGGCTCTGTCGTGCTAAAGACTCTAGCCTTTGTTCCTCGCTCCGATATCGGTACAGCCCTCCTCCTTGCAACACCAGTGCTGATGGCGGACTTTCAGGAAATGTATGGCCGGTGAGTTTCAAGGCTTAATCTTTCAAGCAAACTCCGAACGTGTTTGCCTGCAGGCGATGGGTATTTTGTTTTGTCTCCATTTACCTCGCCTCGGTCCTCACGAGTTTCAGGTCATGAATATTTGCAATCTAATCACCATTGGTTTCAACCTTGGCTGCGCCTTCGCGCCGACGACGGGGGCATTACTTGCATTTCGATTCTTAGGTCTGTGTTGAATTCGCGGCGACACACTGCACACTCAAACCGAGTTCCAGTCGGTTTCTCTGGCAGTGCCCCCATTGCTTGTGGCGGGGGTGTTATTAGCGACCTTTTCTCAGAGCGAGACCGCGCAGCTGCAATGGCTATCTACAGTCTCGGTCCTCTTATTGGTCCAGGTATGCGTCATATCCTCAAGTCACAGCGATCCTAACTGTGTTTGGAGTTGTTGGACCGATTGCAGGCGGTCTGCTTATCCCGCTCTCGTCCTTGTCATGTCTGACGTTGTTTTCCTAGGATTTGTCACCCAAAAAATCGGAATCAAGTACGTCTTCATCATTGTGGCAGGCCTGGGAGGTATCGCAAGCGCATTTGGGATCCCATTCCTACGAGAAACATACGCTCCCGTCATCCGTTTACGGCGTGCGAAAAACGCCCCGGATCCAGAAAAGGCTGCAGCAGCGCATCCTGTTCTCCTCACGGAGCACACAAGCAAACTCCACTATTTGTGGATCAATCTTAGTCGACCTGCGATACTTCTCTGCAGGAGTGTCGTTTGCTTCCTTCTCAGTCTTTATATGGCCTTGTAAGTGCAGCTCCGCTTCTCATTCCCCCAACCAGCCTAATCGAAATCTTTCGTTCAGCATGTACGGCATCTGTAAGTCTCCTCGCGGCGTTGCGGGCTCGACTGAAAGAAAACGCCAGATTATTTGATGTTTGCGACATTCAGCAGTGGGTCATTTGATGCTTTCTGGTTGCCCTGGCCAACTCCCATGACCTGCAGCGCTGTTCTCGGAAGTTTATGGATTTGGCACTGGAATTGGTGGATTGACTTACATCGGTCTTGGTGTCGGTTTCATGCTGGGTCAGTCTACCAATACATATTGTCGAGTCATTGACCACCATTGCAGCAACTATCTTCAGTGCCAGATGGGGAAACGACATCTACCTTTCGGTCCGTGAGATCTGAATTTTCGTACCTTTGCTTAGATTCCTCGCAGTTGTCGCAACGGAATGGCGGCAAAGGCGAACCAGAGATGCGAATTCCAGCACTCATTCTCGGTTCCTTGTTTGTGCCCGTGGGCCTTTTGTAAATGCTTTCACTCTTCGTCACCTCTGCTCATCGTGTCGTAGCTGGTATGGCTGGTCAGCGGAAGCTCGAATTCACTGGATTATGCCCATCATTGGATCAGGCATCTTCGGCTTCGGTACGCGCCTCATCTGCTGCTCCCAATATGCATTCTGACTGAACTCGAAGGCATGATGACGACATTGTGCGCCTCCCCCACCCCCGCATTATCACTGATCAAACAAATCCTTCCAGCCTGCCAATTCAGCTCTACCTCGTCGACACGTTCACCTACGCCGCAAGTGCTCTCTCCGCTGCATCTGTTTTCCGCTCCCTTTTAGGCTTCGCCTTTCCACTATTCGGCCAGCAAATGTTCAACGCCCTCGGGACGGGCGGCGGCAACTCGTTACTCGGTGGTCTGGGTATTGTCTTGGGAATCCCATTGTTTGTCATTATCCTGGTTGCTTGTTGAGACTGACAAACATAGCCCGATCTACCTTTACTACCATGGGGCTGAAATCCGTCAGAAGAGCGCGTTTTCTCGATGATCACACATCGAAATGCTGACAGGTCAACGAGTGTACCGGTGATAGAGGGCGAGTGCCCACACATGCTGCTAGGCTAACCTCAATGTTGTCCCACATATTGGGACGGGACAGAGGGTCAAACTGCATTAATACGAGCCACGTTACATTATCTTAGTCTTCTTTGCATTTGCTCGTCGTTTGACAACTTGCTCTTGTGCCTGGAACAGCGCCTTTTCTTCATCCGCCGACATTCCCAGGGACCGTACTGCCCGCTGTAATGTTTCTCGTTCAGTTATCGCCTCGGTAGCTGCTCCGACATAGACAGCAGTCAGATCATGCAGTGCCTCCGGAACGACACGTTTGCTGTCTATGAGAGACTTGATATATCGGGCAGCACGACGGGCTGAGGAGCAGTGAGTCACGAGTTATAAGAAACTGGGGATGAAATACCTTTGACATGAGACCATGTTCGCCAGGCGCAGAAGTAAAACGGAAAATTAGGTATTATAGCTAGACGATTTTAGTGCGCAGAATGTCTTGAGTGAATGCATACGAATAAGCTTCAGCGGGGCGGAGAGGACACCAAACTGGAGAGGAGTTGAGAAAAGTCGACCCCCATGGAAGAAAACCTACAAAGATCCACAGGTATATGCCGCGACTATGTATCGGTATTCGTTGCTCCACCAGTGTCTTCAGATTTTCTAGTGATTGTGGACCGGATAGCATAGTTGGTGGATAGAAAAGCGGAATCTACTCGATTGTCAGAAGGGAGCGCTGGCTCTGAATAAAGAGGCGCACATCATGGGCTTTCTCTTGAGCATGGAGTGGCGGGGCGATGGAAAGATCGAGGCTCTTCAAATTTGTCTCCTCGAAATCAAGCTGGCTCATAAGTCGTTCGCCAATTTGGAATGCACGTTGCTGGTTGCAAGTTTGTGTGGAGGGAAGCAGATAACTGAGACGCGCACCTTAATGCTCCCTTCTGGCGCTGCGCCCCAGCTAATCCACGTCTGGTTGGCTTTGTTCGACACCCATTTACCAATTCCCTCTTGCGGTAGATAGTCCGCCAACCACCCTGTTCGCGGCAGCAAAGGCTTAGGCGGTGGGGGGCGTTATATTGAATCGATAGAAGGTTGGACGGGGCAGTTTTATCGTCGCCGACGTGTTGATTCGCGTTAGAGGGAGAGCAACAATCCGCATCGAACTTCGAGAGACAGTTGAGGAGATCATGTCACGAAAGTGGAGGCCAAGCAAGACCGAAAGGTACGTCTTGCATCCACAATAAAAGCAGCCGGGAAGTCGGGGTTCGGCTGCAAGACGCGTCTGCCATAGCCGTTCGTGACGAAAATGGTCGGCATCATTTACGTGACATCATCGTGACCCACCTACGATTGACCAGAATGTCGCTCGATCTGCGCAGCGGTGAAGCTAAAGCGACTCATTCGGATCGGCATATAACAGAGGGTACTTGAGTGCCATCGTGGCAACGTTGTCGTCCCTGATTCATCTCCCGAAATCACACGGCAGAGAGTTTTCAGTCCGTCTTCGCGCATCCATTGCCGCGTTGACGCAGCAGTGTCTCCGCACGCCGCCGCCGCAACGCCGCATGCGCGCGCTTCTTTCATTTACCCTTTTTGGGTTATCCCCTCCGCAAACCTCAGCCCGGACTTTCTTTGGGCACATCTGGCAGCGCGGTAAGTACAACAGCCTCGAACGAATGCTCACTAACTAACGTCTATGAAGACTGCCCTGCCAACAACAAATCCCACCTCCCGCCCGTCGGCGCCAAATTCGACTCGCTCGCTGCACAAAGTCCAACCTCTGTCTGCCGCTAGATGCCGAAACAACCCGTCTCACCGGTCGTCAAAATCGCAACCGCTGCATAACTAGGTCAGCTTTGCAAGAAAAACGCCCAAGCAGCAGGCAGTCGTACTGGGCACAACTCTCCCCCCGCTCGCAAATGCGGACAGCAAACCAGAGAGCGCCGCTGAACGCCAATGTCGAATCGTGGTTTTGAAACTGTGGATTCAAGGTGGGCAACTAAACGACGTGAATAACAACAAACTCATAGAACTTGAACAGCGCAACAACGCGAAGGACTCACTGTCAACTGCCGACTTGAGCGGGACGAGCAAGTCGCTGAAGAAAGCGGTCAGCGCAAGGTCGCAAGCACAAGTCCCGAAACACTCACCAATGACGGAGAACCGACCCATTCGACTTCCAACGCAAAACTGCTTCGCAAATGTTAGCATCAAGACGACGAGGACTGAACAGGCACAACTATCGCGCTCGCTCATTCGACACATCTGACACGGTCCGACAACAGGTTTGCGAGAATGTTGACAACTTCAAAGTACTCACCTGTTCGATCAGCTTGAAGACGACAACGCCTACATGATATGTCAGCCAAGACGGAGGACAACAATGGATAACTCACCACAAGTCCGCGGCAGCTCCCTGTTTGCCGAAACAACTCAAGTCGCCAAAGCCACTTTGCAACGCGCGTGTCAAAATCACTGGATAACAATGTCAGTTAAACAGCGGCCTCTCCCGCAAACCAGAAAAGCAAGGCAATTGGCGGTGTCGCGAGTGGGACTTGATACTGCGCCTTGTCAGAATCGAGGAACGGGGTTCAAGACCACGTACCTGCAAACGCGAGCTCCAAATCTGCGCAAGGGATTGCCATGACTTCAGCTCCCCGCTCGCAAGCCAAATCAACAAAGCGTGAACAGTGAACGTGGTCCTGAAGCTGTAGATTCAAGGTGGGCAACTAAACGACTTGAATAACGACAAACTGATAGAATTTAAACAGTGATACAAGTGGCGATGATAGGAAGGACTCACTATATCATCACAGACTCAAACAACTGCAAGGTGCTCGCCCTCGTCTTGCTCCGCACCAACCGCAAGTCGCTGAGGAAAGCGGTCAGCGCAAGGATCGCAAGCACAAGTCCCGAAGCACTCACCGACCCATTCGACTTCCCACCAACACAAAACTGTTGGCCAGCATCAAGACTACATGGGCTCAACGATTGCGCCTTGTTGCTTGCTCGACACATCTGGTAACGTGGTCAGACAACAGGTTTGCGAGAACTCAGAACTAAGCTTGAAGACGACCACACATGTTAGCCAAGGAGAACAACAATGGATAACTCACCACAAGTGCAAGGTAAGTGTTGCTGTAAATGACAGATGCGAGGGGGCAGTAGCGAAGGAGGGTACAGGTAGCACGATCCTGTCGAGTAAGCAAAAGAGAATAGATGTCGATTACTAGGATCGACAAAAAGACAAGCGCAAAGTCAACAACACGTGAGTAGTCAACTTTGGCTCGAAGATGGGCGGAGGGAAGAAGAGGGAAATGATTGGCATCGAGCCAGGCGAGCTTTTTATACACTTGCAATAACCGATGGGAACGCGGAGCGAATCGTGTCGGCATGGTAGTTGAGGGTATTTCCGGAAGTGTTGAGTTTGTCAAGCGAGGCGAAGCGAGATGGACGACGTAGCGCCTGGGATGTTGAACTAGAGTATAGTCCACAGTGATCCACCACCTATATTGCTACCCATGGTCATACTTGGTGTAGAATGCACCAAAGTGCAAAAAGTAAGATGGGTGGAAAGCGAGTCCTTGGGCAATGACGATAAAGTCTGGAACGCTTCCCACGTCCGGCTTCGATCTGTCACTCAGCGTTGAGGCGGTTGCTAAGCGGGTGGTGGCGCATCTCAGGGTTAAACCGCTTAGAAACGTGAATTGCGCGTTTCCGCTGAACTGTGCAGTGGCTTTTGCTCTGTGTGCCTGATCCCAGCACAGGGGAAGGGCGGCCCGTAGTTGCATACCGCCTGTCAAATTTGGTAGCTATCGAAGCATGCGATGCAAAGTAGTGTGTGAATCACGAAAAACGTTCCCGTCTTGAATCGAGTGCATTCCGGGGACCCAAATCACGCGATGAGCAGGCGGATAAGGTGAAGCAAATGCCAACATTTGTTCCCACGCTTGATCGCAGCCGATTATTACCGGCGCACGGGCAAACTGGGCATCTCCTGGGGCTTGCCTTATCGGGAGGACGTTGCTGAGTCACGACTTCAAGCCAGATCTGAGCGCAAAAGGGCCAACAGCGCCAGAAAAATGGCTATCGTCACTTTTGGTCACGCTTGAAAGTTATCAGTGAAATTCAATAAAAAATTGGGGAAAAAAATATATGGGACGGCATTTCAGCAAAAGCAGTCGAAGGCGACTGCAGCAATAAGGGCAAGCAGCTGAGCCAACTGAGCAAGGATAATGCAAAGGGTCTATCCGGGCAGGGTTACATCACGTCACCCTCGGCAGCCGTCGCTTCCATTCCATCACCATTAATTACTTACGGCCTTGTCCTTAGCCACTTGGATACCCGTCTATCCTCACTGCCGCTCATTGCCGATTCCCCGGACGGCGCCGCTAGGCAAAGTAAACCACTGGCATTCGGATACATTTTATTTTATTCACGTCACGGTCTGGGCGCCTCGGGCTTGAGAGTCAAGCCTGAACGACCCGTTATCCGCGGAAGCCGGCCCATCGCCTGCAGCCCATCGCCTGCAGCCTCCCTCATCTCCAGTGAAACTCATCCCCGAGCCGTGGTCGGCATGATTGTCACGCACACGTGTGTCGTCACGGTGACATTCCTGTCGTCAACGATCACCCCCGACATCTCTCTCGGGCGCCCACGATCTGTCTGCGGTGGATATAGGCTTCAGTGCTGGGCAGAACCACCTACCAATATGCACCTTCAAATACCGTGCTTGCTACCGTTTTTGCTCTGTTTCCCCTGCTTTGACGCTGTTTGAAGCGCCGCCTGCAGCTGCCGCCCGACGACGACGGGCTAGATCATGCTTAACCGAATACCGGAGGTAAGTCGGCGTCGTGAGGGGCAACCCTGACTTGATGGATTGTGTTATGACATGCCAGAATTTTTCGCGTAAACGAAGTCACGCACACTTGTTTATGGTCGACTTAAGACCACCACCATGCCCAGAATTGCGCTCTGTCTCTG